GCACCCGTATCAGTGATGCCTTTTATGCTCTTAAACGCTTCGATCAAAACACCTCTAAGGCGTCTCCTCTTCAGGGAGGATAGGTTCAACATAGATAAACGAGTTGGATAGTCTTGCCCCCTAAGATGGGGGAAGCACCTCGTGAAGCTACGTTGCATCGCCTCTAGGACCTTCTTGTCCCGCTCCAGTTATGGATGCAGTTTTCCAAGTGTGGTCTCACATACACTTTATCTGGTGGTACCAACATCTCTGGATCCCGCGAGGCAACTCTTCCCAGCTCTTGGTACAGAGCGTTGTTTGCCTTACATGCCACCTGTAGACACTGCTTTTCTGATCTGAAACTACTGGTGACATGAATTCCCAGGTCCCTCATTTCCTCACTCTTTTGGAGTTCCGCTAGGTTCTCAGCGTTAATCCACCGTACCGAGCCTATGCCTTCAGTCTGTATAAGCTGTCTACACTTGGCCATGTTGAGCGATAACTCCCAGTCTTCTGTCCAGCGTATGAGGTTATCCAAATCCCTCTGTATGGACTGGTCTGACGGGGAACCTACCAGTTTCAAGTCGTCAGTGAACATGTAAATTGGGTTTCCTAACCTCTCCGGCAAGTCGCTTACATAGGTTAGGAATAGGAGAGGGCATAAAACTGACCCCTGTGGAACTCCACTTGCTATCCTGCCTTACCTCGATTTGGACCCTTCTATATTAACATGAAAAGACCTTTCTCTCAGGAATTCCTCCGTTCATGCAAGCAGTTTCGGGTGAATTTTGAAGGTCCTAAATTTCAGGAGCAGTAGCCCCTGGTTTACTGAGTCAAAGGAATTTTGGAGGTCCAAGTAGCAGACCTCCACCCTCTCCCCTCTATCCAGCCTGTCGGGAATTTCATCTAAAAGCATTAGTAGTTTCGTGAGACATGATCTCCTCCTCACAAACGCATGCTGGCTAGCTGTTAGCAGATGGTTGGGTGCAACATGAGCCACCATCTTGTCCCTCAGTAGCCTTTCTAGTCTCGTTAGTGGTACAGAGGTTAGGTTAACCGGCTGATAGTTTGGTGCCTAGTTTCTGTCCCCTCCTTTGTGTATGGGGACAAACTTCGCCACATTCCAGTTTCCCGGTAGCCGCCCTTTCTGAACGGATTTATTAAACAACTTTGCTAGAGATGTTGCAAGCATCCCAGCCAGTGGTTTTAGGAGGGCCGGATGGATGTCATCGGGTCCCGCTGCCTTGGTGCTCTTCAGCACTTGCACTTGAGCCCTTAGTTCGCCTTCGGTGACGACGAGTTAGGCCAATGTGGTTATTTTCCGCTCTAAGAGGGTTTGGGAGTTTCCCCCTCTATCCGGTTGGTAAACCCTTTCGAAATAACGGCAGGAAATGCCCGCCTTTTAGCATTCGATTCGGCGCTAACTCCGTCCTCGTTTTGGACGTTCCCGACCGCCTTTCTAACTGTGGCCTTGGGTTGGAAATAATTACAGTAGGCTTCAGGGTTGAGTTTTGCGTTTCTCGCCAGCTTTTTTAAATAAGCAACCCTGCATATCCGCTGGACCGCCATTGCACGCTTGCGCATTCGGTCATATTCGAGGAATCGGCGGTGGCTACCTGAGGCTATCAGTCTGACTCTTATGTTATCTGTGATTAGGAAACCGGAAGATTTTGGTGACGTCATTTACGTACAGTAAAAATAGTATAGGACCAAGGACTGAGCCTTGAGGTACCTCACTACAAACTGCTGCCGTCTCCGAGGTTTCCTGTTCCACCGTTACACGGAACGTCTTCTCGTGTAGGTGAGCTTCTATCCACCTCATTAACCGCTGTTCTATCCGCAGGGCTTCCAGTTTGCGCAGGAGAAACCTATGGTTGACCGAGTCGAAGGCTTTCCTCAAATAAAGGTAGCAGACTTCGACTCGACCCCCTGCGTCCAATCTTTCTGTTACCTCGTCCACAAATAATGGGGGGTTAGTGAGGCACGACTTTCTGTTGACAAAGCCGTGTTGTTGGCTCGCTATTAGGTGTTTGTCGTCCAAATATCCCACCAACCTCTCCCTCAGGAGCCGCTCGAAGGTTTTCAGGACAACCGAAAGCAGGCTTACTGGACGATAGGTCGATGCAGGCACCCTTGATCAACCTTTGTGGATTGGCACCAATTCTGCCGTGGTTCAGTGGGGCGGCAGCGTTGCTGAGGCAAGGGATCGTTTGCAAAGCGGAGTGGGCGCACCTTCAATAATGTCAGCAATGGGCCGCAGTATTGCTGGATGTAGCCCATCCGGGCCTGCGGCCTTATTCTGACCTAGTTGTTTCAGTGCTTCTTCTACCTCCTTTGCCCATAAGACAAACGGAGCCATGCGCTGTTCGGTGAGCCTACCCAGTAGGTCAGGCAACGGCTTTCCCAAGTCCGTTATGTGGACTTTCTCGAAGAAGCTCCGTAGAACTTCAGCCTTCTCCTTGCTTGAGGCTGCACCGACACCATCTGGATATACTACATTACCAACCGCAAACCGAGAGTAGGCCTTTGATTGCACATAGTTGTAATAGGCGTTTGGTCGCAGTTTGGCATTGCGAGTAATCCTGCTCTCATACTCCCTTTTGCAGTGTCTCTGAATCCTAAGTGCTCTTTCCTTCGCCGCCCGATAACGCAGATGCTGACGATAGCCACCCCTGTTCCTGAGGTAGTTCCATGCCCTCCGCTTTGTGGCTTGTGCCCTGACTACCACCAAGGCGGCCGGCCTGCTCTTTTGACCCTTCTTAGGGAAGCCAACGTATAGTGAGGACTGAGACAAATAGACCCACCAACGATTGATCGCTGGAATCGGCAATACGCAGTGTTGGAAGCGACAAACACCCGCCAACAACACAACAATCTGGAGACTCGATTGGCTGGAAGCCACATTTCGTCCTGTTTATGCTGAACTGTGCATACTGACCTTGATCTTGAGACCGCGCGGTTCGAAAGTTTGACGTGGGGAGTCCTCAAATCAAATAAGTCGCAATACCAAGGAGGGAATTGAAAATTCCGGGATATGGGAAGTGGGAAAAAGAATTTAGAAGTTTGGCAAAGGACAACGCACAATGTGAGCCCACATCGTACTGTGTATCTTGACGGAATTCAATTGACCTAAAGCGTATTACCAGCGGTTTTCTACTTCTATCGTAAGAAACCTTGCAAATACTAGATTTTTAACGTACATTAATGCAAGCTTTACTTTAACAGCGTCCGCAGTTTACTCTGATTGTTCTATCTGCTCACCTTTTGACCTCTATTAAAAACTGCAACCCCGTTTCGTGAATGACCTTGTTGCACTGCTGAGATCACTCACCTCTTCCTTCACCGACAATGTCAGGGTGGTTGGACTGAAAGGAAGAGGGGACCTTAAAAGTGACATAGCTATTGTCCTTAGCTGGGCGCAAAAGTGGGATTTGCCGCTGAATGCTGATAAGATCCAGTTGCTATCGCGCACCGACGAAAGCTTAACATTGGTGCAGGACCCGGGGTTGCTTACGATAGAATCAGTAAGCAGGGTAAAGGACCTGAGTATCATCATATATTCAGATTTCCGTTGGGCCGAGCATTGCACAGCAGCCCCAAAAAAGAGATCGCAGAGAACTCTGCAGACTGAGGTTAGTACTGTCTTGCAGAAGACCAGAGTTGTTCGTGCCTCTGTACAAAGCTATAGTTAGACCTCATCTCGAGTATTGCGTGCAGGTATGGTCACCTTTCTTCAAAATGAATGATTCCTGCTTAGAGGGAGTTCAGAGACTCGCAACAAGAATGGTTGAAGGTCAAAGAGGGAAGTCGTATGCTCAGAGATTTCATGACCTGACGCTCTCTGGAGACGAGAAGACTCTGGGGTAACGTCTTCGAAACCTTCAAAATACTGAATGGTATATCAATCATAGGACCGGAGAACCTATTCCACGAAGACCTCGATTAGAGAACAAGGTGTCACTGTAAGAAACTAAGAAAATCTCAACCCAGTATATTAGCAAGGTCACACGTCTTCGGTAATCGGGTAGTAAACCTATGGAACCATCTGTCAAAATAGGTAATAGAACTACTTTCGGTTCAAACCTTCAAACTAGACCCAGAGCTAAGGTGGAACGAAGTAGTTTCTGGGTTGAGCAGGGATTTAGCTCTCCCATTAGGGCCCATATTGAACACTCACTTGCCTTAACGTCTCTTGCCGAGCAGGTGAGTTGAGTTGTTCTTTCCTTTCCTCTTTAGCAGAAGAACTGACGGATTACTCGACACAGCGTTTGGTGCCGGACCTGTGAATACCACCAAAAGAACTCGGGACGCTCGATTGACCGTTGCCATTTCCTGTCCTGTGCAAACTGAACTGAACTGACTTTGAAGTTAACTTGGCGCGAGGCGTCAAAATTAAACCCAAAATCTTCTATGCGTACGTGCTAGCCAGCGCGTGCACACAGAAGAGTGTAGGATCACTAGATTTGCCCGATGAAAGCATGGCTACCTGCAACCGCGATAGAGCGGATACTCTACCTAAGTTACTCAAGAGCGTGTATAGGACCCCAACCGAGTTTAGCAAGGTCAACCGATACGTCAGAGTTTGCCGATATTGCCATCTGTGAAACAGATGTACATCGAGAACTCCAGACGCTCAACAAGCACAAGTCAGCAGGTCCAGATGGAGTCCATCCAGCCATAGTACAGCCGCTGGCCGGGGTGCTAGCCAGGCCTCTGACTGTGCATTTTAGGGAATCAGTGCAAATCGCTGCGCTACCCCAGGACTGGTGTACAGCTACCGTAGTAGCATTGCACAAGGCTGGATCGAAATACAAAGCCGAAAACTATGTGCCCGTTAGGCTAACGTCAGTACTGTGTAGTTGTCTGGAGCGACTGTTCAAAAGAAAGATTTGCCTACATCTGACTAGTAATCGACTCCTGACACCGGCACAGCATGGCTTTGTGCAACGGAGATCATTTCTAACGAATCTGCTTGTGTTCCTAGATGAAGCCACTCAACGTACGGATGGGGAGAAAAATGTAGTTCTGCTACTGAGACCTATGTACAGCATTTGACTCTATGAGCCATCGATTGTTGGACTTCAAAGTTCGGAGCCTAGGCGTATCAGGTAAAGCCAGGTGCTGGATTGTAGCCTTTGTGAGTAAGCGCACCATCCGAGTCAAGGTGGGTGATTACTTTCCTAACCATTGGATGGTGAAAAGTGAGGTTCTTAAGGGTTCAGTGCTAGGCCCCCTATTTTTCTTATATCCATCAACGATATGACACAGAATCTTCAAAATCTGTTTCATGTTAGCTGATGGTGTCAAAATGACAGGGTCAAACCTGCAAAGGGACTTAGAGGTAGTCCATCGATGGTCGTTCAAGTGGGACCTACCTTTGAATCTAAGCAAGTGTCTGCTCTTACCAACGAGAGCTGAGTTATACTCGAATACTCGTGCTCCCATGCAGATGAGGGATCTAAGGGTTCTTATGACCCAAGATTTTAAACCCTCAACCCAGTGCTCGAAGGCTGCAAATCAGGCTAGGGGGCAGCTGTTCAGGTTGTGTGCCACAGTGATATGGGGAAGACCTGAGGATTTTGTCCCACTTTATAAGTCGATTGTTCGCCCACACATGGAATATTGTGTGCAGGCATGGGCACCGTATTACAGGAGGGAGGTAACATGTTTAGAAAGAGTGCAACGCCTAGCTACCCGAATGGTAACTGGGCAAAAGGGGAAATGCTATGAGCAGTAGTAAAGAGATCTTAATCTCTTTTCGCTGAACGAGTGATTGGAGATCTGGTAGAAAATTTTAAAATTGTAACAGGTCTATTGGGACTCAACCGAGACGATTTGTTTACAAATTCTCGTGCTAAAAACACGAGAGGTCATGGTTATAAAATTCAACAAAACCACGCCAGGTTGGAAGTACGAGCTAACTTCTTCGCACACAGGGTCATACCTTTGTGGAACAGGTTACCCGCAGAAGTGATCAACTGCACCAATGGTAATGCCTTCAAGATGGCCCTGGAAGCATGTTGGTCAGCAACGTTCCTCGAAGTTAGCATTTAGAGTGAGAACATAAAGAATAAATTCCACTTTAGCCGAAGTTTCGTGAAATTGAGTAAACTCGGGGTTGATTGTTGGAATTGTTCTCAAACTTATTGTCCTGTCACATGTAATCTATGTATACGAACGTATGTGTACTTGAGGTTACTAACCAATGAGGCGAGGAGGTATCCCTGCTTGTTTACCTCCCTTTCAGCATACCTCCAAAGAGACAACGTTCTGTAAACAGGGCTACATTGAGAGGAGCACAAACATTTAATCAACTGTACGCAGTGTTGGAAGCTACTTTCATCCGCAGACAACACAACGAACTGGACGCTCGATTGAAAAGAGCCATATTCGTCCTGTGCAAACTGAACTCAACTGAACCGGACCTAAGATCGCTATTAGCTCATCCGTCTCCGTTCCCCCTCTTTATATAAAGCACTTATATAATAATAATAATAATAATAATAATAATGTATATTTCACGAAACCCGTGAAGCATGCACAAGGCATGATCATACTTCACTTTGATTTCTCCAACTCCCTCAACTCCATTTTCATTCGATGTTCATCATTTTATCGAAACTTCTCAACATCCAGTATTGCCAATTTTGGATCATGTTTCTTCTCCACGACACATCTCTTACTCTGGGTAGCTCGGAGAGGTGGGTTGCGAGCTGTAGCTTTGATCCTGACAAAACCTCAGACGTGTATTGTCACTCAGAGGAACCTGAATGAATTGACCTTGAGACGCGGTACGTTCAAAATTTAGCCTACCTCTCGGTTTGTATAATTCCAGACGTTTTATACTCACTCGGCTCTACGTATTTTGTTTCGACCCGTAAAATATTTTTATTATACTGTCCAATCTTTCGATGGTTGATAAAACCTCTCATGGATCCTCCGACGAGGACACTTTCCCCATGCGGTTATATGAGCCTGTGATAGACATGAATAAAACTCTTCCGCAAGCCGAAATGCTAGGTATCATACAGGAAAACACCTTGGAACTAGAGACGCTGAAGGTTGAAGTAAATGCTCTCGGTGACCAGGTTGCCAAACTCAACGCCCTCATGTTGAACTCTCCAGTTCATTCTGTGGCGGACTAAGCAATCAAAATCTCCGAGCAGCAAATACTTGATACAACAAGAATGTTACAAGCAGACTCAACTGCTTCGAAAAGGGTTAACTACTAGGGACATTTCCCGAGCTCCTTTACCCCTCAGGAAATGACAAAGTTAATCTTAAAACATCTGGATACGACGGCTTTCAAGCCCGGCAAATCCCCTAGGCTTATTCCAAAGAAAATAAAAAATTTCCACGGCCTCGTAGTGGATCTGGGCTCCCCTTCTACAGCTCGTAAGCTCATCACGTTTCCTCTATCCCTAAAACGATCCCGCGAGGGACGCAGAGGGGTATCGATTGATAAACCCTTACACCTTAGGTTCCCCGTTGCGAAGCAGAACGCCCTCAATAACCCTTTGACAGACTCCAAGCTTCTCCTTAGCGCCTTCGCAACGGTCATACGTCTGGAAACTGACGTAACCCACTCACAGCCCATCTCACCCAAATCTTTCTCCCTAAACGAGACAAAGGTCCGCCTCAAGCCAGTGTCATACAGCTCGGCGAACACAAGTGTCTGTTCTGCGCACACATAGATCAATCACATAGAAAAGACGTCGGTACTTATGGTCCCCGGGACCACAAACCACAAAAAGCAAACCCAGATTAGAGCTATCAACGCCTCCCGGAGCAAAAACGGACTAGTTGGTGATCCCCTCGTCTTAGAAAGTAGCATAGTCACGGGGAAAAATCGCCTCAGCTGCCTGTTGCTACTGCCCAGAAACATATAACTGTCCTTCCAACTATCCCGAAACCTTCCAAGCTTTCTTAGGCTCTTCCCTTCCTCCCAACTTCCGTATTCACCCTCAATAAGAAATCAACTTTTCGGATGGAGGCTCCGGAGGGTCGCCCCCCAGAAAGGCGGCCAAAGAAAGTTCGCCCATCCGTGAAACCTCCGCCCTTTCTGCACGTAGTTGTCCAACAGAAACTCCGACCGACAGCTCTCGGACCCGCTTATGTCATCACCAACCCAACCTATCAACGCCCTCCAACACCTCTCCTCTCTCCGCTTTTTCTCACCCGTCATAGATACAAATAGCTCAATTTTCCTATCCAAATCATAC